AAGATGTTCATAAATCTATTACGGTAAAATGGAAAGCTTTAAAAAAGCTAGAAATTGTAAATCCTTAAATAAACAGGTTTCTTCGGTTCACAGAAGCAACTGGAAATTATTAGATTTGCTGATAAGAACTCTCTATTAAACCAAAGAATTGAATTACCTGTAAATTGTAGGTATAGCTTACCTTTCACCTTACAATATGTTTAAACATTGAACTTGGTAGTACTGTTTCATATGGTCATAATTAGTAAATAAATTGCGGTGAACCTTCTATGACTGAGTGTTTGATTTTGTTTATTTAGATTTAATATAGCTATGTATTGCTGTCTAGTCGGTATTATTAACAACTTATATGGATGTTACACATTTTTTCAAAATTTTAAACGGTTTAATTTTTTTCACTGGTTTCTTAAAGTAACTTTTTGATTTTCAACTACAAAATCTATGTTACAATTAGCTATACATTTGATTATCTTCCTACCCACTCCTCTTAGCTTCTTATTAAAAATTGAAAAAGTCCTTTGTCCACAGTTATGGTACAGTGATGCCACTCGAATATAGTTTGAAATAATTTCATGTCTGCCACAAATGACTTTGTCTAGGATTCTATTTCAGGTTACATTACGCCATGATCTAAATTTTCTGTTTTTAGGTTAATTTTGAATGTAGCGTAGGTCTGACACCTGATTGATTAATCAGGGTAAACCCACAAGCCTCGTTTTAATTCTGACGTTGTATTTTCTCATCTTCTCTTCTCATTCAAAAAAAAAAAAAGAGGTGATATTTTGCTTTTGAAATTAAAAACATCATTTACTCACCAGTTATTTAGCATTTCCTTCTTTCTTTCTTTCTTTTTCTTTCCTTCTTTCTTTTTCTTTCTTTCTTTCTTTCTCTCGAGATCTTTGCAGTGTTTTTATTTTTTCTTCTATATTTCTTTTTCAAAATCATATTCTTTTCTTCAGACGTCTTGACACATTCTTTCTTTCTTTCTTTCTTTCTTTCTTTCTTTCTTTTTCTCCAGCTCTTTGACTTGTTCTCGTAGGTTACAAGGGAAAATGACCATCAAGAGTTTTTCTCACAAAAGAGGTACCGCTTGTGGCAAAACTGAATTGAAATTTCTGTGGAACATGCTTGGAAGTGGCATGAAGTGTGCTAGCTGTAAATGTCTGAACAGACGTAACTAAAGAATGGCGTTCGTATAAACATTTGTCTTGAGAATAGCGTCTCTGTAGCAACAGGCTTGCTGTATTGCGTCTCTGGGTCGGTTCTTCCTCATAACACAGCGTAAATATATTTTAACTATCCGAGGGCTGGACACAGAGGCCTAAACAGCTAAAGACCAGATCTGACAGCAAGGCACAATTTGCAGTCAAATCTGACATTCAAATTTGGAAGGAGACAATCCTGACTGTCGGCAGGATATCAACGAATAAGTATTTTATATACCGTGTGTAACAGTATAATTATTTCTTATAAATGATTAAAGATATCTTACTGGAATTCTCCGAGTTAGAGGACGGTAAGTGCGACACTGAGATCCGTAGGCGTATTGGGACACATTCCAAAATCTGGGCAGTGTACTGCGAGACAGGAAGATATCTTTGGTAACAAAGAAATAATACTCAACTCTTACGTGGTATCTGCCCTTCTTTATGGCAGCGAATGTTGAAGATGAAGAAGAAACTCGAGGCGACACAGATGTGGTTCTACAGAAGGATGCTAAGGATATCACGGACCGAGCGTGTGAGCAACGATGAAATCTTAAAGAGGCTACAAACAAGGAAGAGGCTTATATTTAATATCAGTAAGAGGCAGCTGAAGTTTCTGGAACACATAAAGAGGAAGGAAGGTCTGGAGAATCTGATACTCACGAGTCGAATGGAGGGAAAGAGAGACAAGAGAAAGCAATGCTGACGTACCTGGCGGACTTAAGCAAGTGGATTACAGAACGTGGTCTGGGGGAGGAAGCAGCGGAAAGGAACTTGTTGAGAGATGCAAGGAATAGAGGAAGAGGTGGAGAGCCATGATCGCCTACGTCCTGAAAGGACACGGCACATGAAAAAAAAGAAAGGTTGGACTATACTTTGAGCAATAAGAAATGTATAATTACTCTCCTAGCTTAAGAGGAGAATTGTGATGAATTCGATCATAAACGAAAATGATATGTTCATCATTAATTAACCATAGTTAACGATCAGAAGCTCATGGAGGATTGAAACAAAGTTCATATATATATATATATATATATATATATATATATATATATATATTTATTTATGTTAAAAAAGAGACAAACCATGAACGCTTTTGATTGTAATTTGTATTTTTTTTAAAAAAAATATTATGCTTTATTTTCCATAATTTTGCTACACGTGTTTTGGGTCTCGCGACATTCTTCAGGCAAAGAGTGGATATTTCCACATATTATTGAAACGAATTAATTTTCCTTCTGTTTTTCAATATTAAACATTCCCTTTTTTGTGTTGTAGTGACACAAATGTCT